ATTCTAGGTTCGAGTTTCTAATGACTGATCACTTTTAGGAATTTTGCATCTAGAGATTTAGATAAATTTATGAGGATGACCAATATCAATTAGGTTTATTGGAACTAAGATTAAGAAGAGTAGACAAACTAGTGAAGATGACCAATATCAAGCTAGTCCTACTTGGTTGACATGATTCTTCTATGCTTAATGAGTTTTTATGCGTTTAATTGTATGCCTAACCAATAGGATATAATTATCATGTAGAGATATAAGAGTTGATGCCTAACTACGAATTAATTCATACCTTAGAAAGAACAACCTTTAACATTGGCATGGTAATTGGATAGTAATTGGCTCTAGGAAAAGTAAATAGGATTGTTGTTGGTGGATTCATAACCTTAGACTTTCTTGTGTCGTGTGTTTGTTTTAGTTAATTGTCTTTTATTGTTAATTATAGTCTTAATCAATTATTCAATTCAATCTATATATCATTTATTTGTTTAATTAATTCTAGCGTGATTATTTGGTTAAATTGGCGTTAAAGCAATCCCTGTGAGATCGACCTCGTATTTGCATATATTACTACAATTGATTCGTGCGCTTGCGAGTTTAATTTGGTTTAAATTAATCTATTATTTAGGTTACTTTAAATATACATCAAGTTTTTGGCATCGCTACTGACACATGAGTTGAATGATTTGTATAAAAAAAATATTAGAAAATTAAAAGATCAGATAAGGATACATGACGCAATGTGAATGGTAAAAAAATTATAAAAATTCTAAGCGGAGATTATTAATGGATAATGACATATGGCGCGACAAGAATGGTTGAAAATTTCATCGAAAATTTGAAGTGATAATGTCACATAAAGAATATGATAAGACCAACAAAGCATAAAAAATAAAAACATATATTTGTAAATAGTAATATCCCCTTAGATTTTTGTTAAGATTCTTGATCATTCATGTAGTGTCACATGTCATTATTCATTAGCCTTATTTGTGAGAAATTTTTTATTGTGACAAGAATACAGGTGGTACACCACGTGTTTTTATGTAAGTAGTGGAAAATTTTACTTTTTAAGTTATTAACTTTTTAACACATATATCACACTATTTGTATAGTGATATATGGTGTACCACCTCGTGTGACAGTCATATTAAAAAATCTCTCCTTATCTATTGAGATTTTTATTAAGATTTTCAACCATTCATGCAATGACACGTGTCCTTATCCAATCTTTATGATTTCTTATTTTTCCCCATAAATACCGCTTTAAACCTCCAGATGCTCACACCAAGCCGCACCTCCTCTCCATCCTCCCTACTCATACAGCTCTCACTCTCCGCAATTCTCCCCTATCTTCTCGTCGATTCTCACCTCCATATTCATCTCTCGACTCCGGCTTTCCCTTCATACTCTCCGCAGTCCATCTCATCCTTGTCTCTCCAGCGGCTCCTTTGATCATGGTTATTTCAGTATTTATAGGGATGTCAATGCACATTACCTTTGGGTAGTCCATTAATCCCTTGCAGTGGCGGATCCAGGATTTTAAATTCGGAGGGTCCCAATTATAAAAGTCAAAAAATTTATAGACAAAAATAACATTGAAAATTTAAATATAATACATTTCATTTAAAAATCATATGCAAAACAATATTACAAATTATAAAATCATAATTCAAGCGTCCATTACGAGGTTTCATAAGTTACTAGGGAGTACCTAAGTTATTGATTATTTAATATGAACCACTAAATTTAAAGGGGTGTGCTATTCACACACCCCTTTTTGCGTCTCACACACCCTTTGTTTATTTCTGTCATTTGATCTTTTTTAATTCAGTCGATCCAACGGCCGCAAATTAAGAGGGTGTGTATGAAGTAAAAAGGGGTGTGTGGATAGCAAATTAAAACACCGGTCAAATAAAACTCTCCCCAAACTCCCACTATCTTTCTAACCAAACACACCATTTTTCTCTTTTACTAGTTTCCAAACATCCACCTTCTCTCTCACTAAGAACAAAGCTGTCATACCTCCACTAACCACCTCCCTCCCCATTCTCCCGAAGCCATGGTAGTTCCACCACCAAATTTCACCAACCCATGACAGATCATATCCATCTTACTAACCTTATGAAGGAAACTTCACCCATAAGAAAAATTACTAAGATGGTTGAAATAATTTGGGAAAGTTTGGGCTTATGTACTGCCCCCATCAGACGACACAGAAAGGTTGGAGGAGAAGTGGGTGGCACCGATGAATGAGACCATGGTAGAAGCAAGGAGGAGAGAAGCAAGAAGGGTCCCTATTTCTTTCTTCTCCGTGTGCAGTCATCTTCTCCGAGAAGAAGACAGCCACTGCAACCTACACAGACCTCATGCTCGAGTACGAGGGGTCCTCGGAAAATTTATAGCAATGATTTAGGATTGCCGACGGGTCCTGGGACCTCCCTGGTCCCTATGTGGATCCGTCCTTGATCCCTTGTATTATCAGTTACTCTTGCATTGTGTGTACATTAATTGAAAGATGGAACTTTTAACCCGAGATCAGTCATTGATCGTGCCACTGTAATTGTACGCAGTTTGGGATGAATTTTAGTTTAAAGGTTTTTTAGCATTCATAAAAATAAATGAGCTGTCCGGATAACTTAATAAGTTTCGATCTCATTGCAGTTCTATAGCAGGTTGAAATTTTCTGTAGTGTCTGCGTTTGCACACTTGTGGTTGGTCAGTTTTTTTCTGAAGGTGATTAATTTGAAAGAATTATGGGAAACCCAATACGTTGGTCCCTTTTGCTCAAATTTTCATAATTTGCTTCTTCTTGTCTCTCTCTTTATTCTTTTTTTTTTTTTTTTTTTTCAATTTTGAAAGTATCATGTTTCCTTCGATTGATATAAAACCTTCAGCCTCCATAATTGAGTCAATTGTTTCATCGGTATTTCACAGTCCTCGGGGAAAAGAGGTCAATGGAGAAAACACGGCTTTTGTTTGGGGTTTTGACACAAACCTAAACCCTATCACTTTCATCTTTTCTCTCTCCTATCACTTTCATCTTTTCTCTCTTCTTCTCTGTCCTATCACTTTCATCTTTTCTCTCTTCTTAACTGATTATTAGGGTGTGGTTCATAGTTATATGCTTCATTTTTTGGAAGAGGATCCTCTACTGAGCTCAGGATGAGGATCCTCCTGACCACAAAATCCGGGCCGTTCAATTTTAATCCAACGGCTCTAAACAGGGAGTCCCCTAAAAAGTTATAATAATTGCAACTGTTGGATTAAAATTGAACGACCCGGATTTCGTGGTCAGGAGGATCCCCATCCTATGCTCAGGAGAGGATCCTCTTCCTCATTTTTTTGGTATGGGTGTTTTTTTGTTTCATGTACAAGTTCCTAAAATCATTTTGGGAGGTTTGGAGTTGATCCCTTGGAGTTTTGGGTCTGCTAATTGTTCGAAATTGCTCTATGTTTCTAGTTAGATCTTTAGTCTTGTAACTTGTTACGTATGCACAATGACGATTGATATGCTTTTGCTTCTTCATTGTTGGACTCTCTCTCATTTGCGGAATGTTTTATTTTAATCCTTCTCTGTTTCTAACCCAAGGATTTTCTTTATTGCTTTGTAGTTTGAAGTTGAGTTAATTAGAGGTTTCAAAAAAAGAAGCTAGTTTTAGTTTTGTATTTCTTCCCCTTCTTTTGGCAAGAAGATCAGAAATATGGTTGAGGAAGTCATTTTAAGGGTACTTCGAGCACTCAAAGGCCCCATCCTTAGGACAGTGAAGTTCTTGAGTGGTGTCAGTCATCAAGTTCTGGATCCAAACATTAGCTATTTTTTATAGAGGGCTTTCTGAAAAATATGGATGCAAGACAAGTAGAGCAGGAATCAGTACGCATTTTGGTCGAGTATTTGGTGAAAGAAGAAAACTTAACCGAGTTGTTTCCATTTGAGGAATGGGAGGGTTTGGAAAGATCACTTTTGCAAAACGAGTTTATCATCATAGTAAAGTTAGAGGTTACTTTGATGGGTTTTCTTGGGTGTGTACTGAATAATGTCAAATAGGAAAGTACAGACATCCAAGAAAACCCAGACTTTCTTATTTGACCAGTGCACACACCCAAGAAAAGTCATCAAAGTAACCTCTAACTTTACTATGATGATAAACTCGTTTTGCAAAAGTGATCTTTCCAAATCCTCTCATTCCTCACATGGAAACAACTCGGTTAAGTTTTTCTTCTTTCACCAAATACTCAACCAAAATGCGTACTGATTCCTGCTCTACTTGTCTTGCATCCACGTTTTTCAGAAAGCCTTCTATAAAAAATAGCTCATGTTCTGCATTCAGAAATGGTTGACACCACTCAAACTTCACTTCCCTAAGGATGGGGCCTTTGAGTGCTCGAATTACCCTTAAAATGACTTCCTTAGCCATATTTCTGATCTTCTTGCCAAAAGAAGGGGAAGAAATACAAAACTAAAACTAGCTTCTTCTTTTGAAACCTCTAATTAACTCAACTACACACTACAAAACAAGAAAGAAAATTCCTAGGTTAGAAACTGAGAAGAATTAAAACTCCGCAAATGAGAGAGAGTCCAACAACGAAGAAGCGAAAGCATATCAAATCGTCATTGTGCATACATAACAAGTTATAAGACTAAATATCTAACTACAAACACAGAGCAAGTTCGAATAGGTAGCAGACCTAAAACTCCAAGGGGTCAACTCCAAACCTCCCAACATGATTTTAGGAACTTGTACATGAAACAAAAAAATACCCAAAACAAAAAATGAACGATACGCTAATAATCAGTTAAGAAAAGATGAAAGTGATAGGGTTTATGTCAAAACCCCAAACAAAAGCCATTGACCTCTTTTCCCGAGGACTGTGAAATACTGGTGGAACAATTGACTAAATTATGGATGGCTGAAGGTTTTATATCAGCATATGCAAATAAAAAGATAGAAGACATAGCATATGAGTGCTTAATTGGTTCAAGTCGGAAGAATGTATTCACTTTGCAAGTTCAAGTTGGAACGTCTCCATGATCTTATGTGAAAGCATCTTAAAGGCAAACTTCGTACATTGTCAATTGTTCTAGAGACACAGTAAAAGTATGTTATACTTTCTTGTATTCATCAAGCCTTGTGTTTGGTTTGGTAAGATTATTCTTGTTGTACCCACTATTTTTTATTGGAAGATTGATCGCTGCATGTGGACATAGGCACAAATTGTCGAACCACGTAAATCCTTGGTGTCCATCTTTCTACTGTACTTTGTGTTTTCTCTATCATGTAGTACTGTCAATCTTAACAATCTAAGTACAGTAACGAGCAAGCGTTTTATTTTATGAGCACTAACTAGAATTTATATTGAAACAACTTTTGGATTTCCCTATTAAAATAGGAAATTGACACGCAATTTCAATCTAATCTCGAGCCCAAAGCCAAACGGCTCTCCATTTCTCTATTTCAAAAAAAAAAAAAAAAACCCTCTCTCATTTCTGATAATATTTAGGAACCCTAGGCCTTTCTCTCTCTAGAAACCGAGAGAGGTCTCTCTCTCCCTAAAATACAAAGTTCTCGTTTCCTTGTAATGAAAACCCTAGCCGCACCTCATCTTCCATTTCTACTTCAATGCTTTACCCTCCTCTCTCACATCAACACAAACCCTTCACTCTTAGCCGCTCCTCCATATTCGTTATTTCTCCAAAGTCAAGCTACAAACCATGCTCTCTGCAACTGAAATCACACCGCCTCCATTGCGTGCACAAGTCTATAAACAAGTGCAGACTCCGACGGAAGAGCAATCCCAATAAAAACAAACCCCAAGTAAAAATCTCTAATGGTTGCCATTGAGTTATATTGGGTTTATTTTTATGGAAAAGTCAACAAACTAACACATGCACGCATTTTTTTCTACGCGAGCTCTCGGATCCACAACAAGAGAAACACACCAACACCCAATCTTCACAAATCCATAGCCAATCGTCCAAGAATCCTCCCATCTGCAGGTAAAAACTTAGTCTCCTCCAAACCCCATCTCTGATTATAATAACTGCACTCCATTTTTCACTGATGATCATAACCAAAAGTCGAAGGAAAATAAAATAACACCCATCCATATTCTGATTTATGCACAGGATCTGACTCCGACGTCTTGGATAACGGCATAACAAAGGAAATGCTCGGACTGCACAGATCCGTTGTGAACTGGAAGATAAAGCACATGAGGCATGGATCCAAAATAAAAGGTAAAATGTCTTCCTCCCCCTTCTTCGATCTTTGTTTATGCATGACATGAATAATTACTTACGGATCTTGTGAGACAACTAAGTAGACTGCCATCTTGTGTCGAACATTCCCAGATCCATTGGTGGTAACCAAACAAAAAACAAAGGAGAACCGCTCAATGACAAAGAATCCATGTAAAAAGAAGGTAACATATCATGTGTTAATGTGTTTGAGCTCCGATCTGTGTGAAATCACTTAGGACACTCGGATTCGTGATATATCCGAGAGAAAAATTGCTCAAGCTGCAGATTCATTTGACAAAAAGACAAACACGCTTCCAAGTTGCAGCGGCTTCAGATTTGAAAGGTATAAATCCTCATCTCTGCTGGAATCCATGTTGGATATGTAAATTTATGTACATGAGTATGGCATGCATGTATTATCTGTGAGATCACCCCCAAACTTAATACAAGTAATAATTGGAGACAATAATTACTGAACAAAAATAAATAAAAAGCTTAGATCTGTATGGGGACCATTTGGACTTCAAACACTGCTTAATAAATAAGAAAATTAAGCATATTTCACAGACAAAAAACAAAACAATGATAAAACTAGAAAGCATAGTAGAGCCGAGTGAGAAATTACTTGTACACTCCGTTACTATCTTCTGAAAAAGCTTCCAGCTTTCATCTTTACTTTGTAGACGAGATTTGTGGTTCAAACCATTTATGTTTGTAAAGGGAGCTACTTTTGAGCAACGGCTGGTGAGTAGTATTTGGCTTTTATTTCTGCATCTATTGGAAATCTAGATTTCAAAGAGTTCCATGCGTCACAACTCCAAATGTCATTAAGCATCACCAAACATTTCATTTCTCGTTGGATGATGCAAAGCTTCATCAAGCCTTGTCTTTGGTTTGGTAAGATTATTCTTTTTGTACCCTTTATTTTGATTGGAAGATTGCTCGCTGCCCTGTGGACATAGGCATAAATTGTCTAACCACGTAAATCCTGGGTGTCTATCTTTCTACTTTACTTTGAGGTTTTTTCTCTATCATGTAGTACTGTCAATCTTAATAGTCTAAGTACAATAACGAGTGAGCGTGTTATTTTATGAGTACTGACCACTATTTATATTGAAACAACCCTTGGATTTCCCTATTAAAATAGGAAACTGATACACAATTTCAATCTAACTATGTGTGTTAAGTATCATGATTCATTTAAAGTTTCAATCCCAAACTAATTAAGACGACATTAAACTATTTATTAAGACCTTTTCATACCAATTTGAAATACTATATTAATCCAAATAATTGGAAATCTATCTAGTCATTTAGGAAAAGAAAATCAATCCCTATGTGTGAAAGAAACAAAATTTAATTGGCGACGCTTACAAACTTGTGGAACGAGAGATGCGCACGTCCCTCTCCAATCAAAACAATCAGAAATGAATGCAATCGTTAACAAACTATACGCATCAACGGAATAATATGTTTTATCAGTCAAGTGATTTTTTTTATTTCAGCCAGCCGGTGGAGCCTGATCGTCTATTTACACATTACTAACGCATATTCCCCCAAGAGTATTACTACTTCTCTCTCGTCCCATGCCATGTACTCGTTCCCATGATATGGGACTTGCAAGATGCTAGACATTTTTTTAATACATACGATATTATCTGTACTAAAGGGTAGATGGATGAATTAAGTCTCATAATAATTTAACCATAATAATTTGGTTCGAATTCACCTTTAAGAGAATCTAACATAAAACAGAAGAGGAATGCAAGACACTTAAACATAAAAGGGAATGCTAGCAATTACTCGTCTATGTGCACTTAATGTTGTTTTTATCCTTTCAAGTGGTTCACGTATTGTACACGTGACAAATATATACATAACTTCTGATGCAATGTTGAGTGATAATTTAATAATGGAAAGGTAGTCATATGACTGAAATAAAACTTCAACATGACTGAAATAAAAACTCCATGTATTTTTTATTGAAACAAAAACTCCATGTAAAACCTAACACGGACAAAAAACCTCTATGAAGGTTGGAAGATCAATATTCAAATGGTATATATTCCTTCTTTTTAGTAAGGCATTTCCAATGAGGATATGCAAATTTGATATGCAACACTAATTTTATATTTCATTTTACATTTTCAGGAAATGTAAATGTGAGTTTTGATGGGATTTTTTCCACCAATAAAAGTAGAAATAAAAATACTTAAAAATACTTGCAAGAGTACAAGGTTATCGTAGTATAGTAGCTCAAGCAAGGTTGTTTTCCACAGGGATTGATTGAATAATTTGTATTTATACTAATCCTTAGCTAATTATTTAGAACAAAGTTTCAAAAATGTTGATTTTGTAATTTAAAATAATAGAAACGAATTTAAATAAAAATAATTAAATAATTGACAAGGTAAAGAAAGCAAAAGACAAAGGTTTTGAAAAACAATTTAAACACTAGGGTTTTGCCGTCACCATTAACAATCCTATGTAATTCTACCAATTACTTATAAATTTCTACATATATGCTTTGAAGGTTAGGCTTTCCTAATACATAATTTCCTCGTGATGTTCAAGCGAAAATGTATATCTAACATATAACTCGTCTATGATGTTCAAATCAAATATAAACATGCAAGACCCATTAAGTTTTGTGAAAACCCTTTGAAAAAGTATGCAACCCTTAAGAGCCTGATGTTCGCCTTAAGTGAACTTACAATTACTAATCACAAGAAGCCTTCCTCAATTTCAGGGTGATGTTGCAACATAAATTACATCAAATTACTTGTCTAAAAACCCTAATGGTCGCGAATCACTATGACAATTAAATAGTTTAATCGCAGTGATTAATAATTCAAAGCAAGCATGCATCTATTCATAAGCAAATTAATAAAAACACATATTCATGCTAAGGCTCATGGCTTCGCCCTAGCAAAATAAACTAGTTACAAACAATCATAAAACAAAATATTATTAAGAACAAGGATAGAAAACACCTAGAAAATAAACTTATCCAAAATAGTGCATGCGTTCTCCTCCTCTCCTTTTCCCAAAACCCTAATGGCTAAATATCTTTATTTATACTACTACAAAATAAAACCCTATTAAAAGGTCTTTAGAATAAAACTAGAAAACATAATAAAATAATAAAATATAAAACAAAAGGTTTCCCATTTGAACTAAAATTCGAACTTCTCATAAAATAAGTCTTTCGACCAACCAAATTAACTCCAATTTGGTCCCAAAAGGTCTCTTTTGAAAGCTGGAGATGTACCCTACAAATCATCAAGGGAATATTCCTTAAAATATGCCATCTTGACCTCCAAAATGCCCAAAACGTCTAGAAATGTCAATTTAGAAAAGCTAAGCGCTGGGCCTTTATTTATTTGCCACGGTCAAACGGCTTGGTAGAAAAATCTAAAACTTTGATACAATCATCTTGAAAGGGTCACGAACATCCTCCAATTTGAATCACTCAAAAATTCATCTATTTATTCACTCTTTGCTCCAGAGAAAGTCGAATGCCCTACATTGAAAATATATAACAAAATATCAAAATTCTACGAAAATAACCAATAAACTATAACTAAGATATAACTAAGAATAGGATAAAATATATGGTATAATATGGACTCATCAAGTTTTACTCGAATAGGATAAATGTACGTTTGGGACTTTATCTATTTAATTGACAGAACTTACCATAAAAGTAGGGGTGGGCAAACGGGTAGAGGAACCGTGGGTCGGGGCGGGTAGACCAGGTTCGGGTCGGGTACGGGGCGGGTCCAATTTTTTTTTTAGAATAAGCAAGGTGGGGCGGGGCGGGGCCTTAGTATTTTAGAGGCAGACCGAGTCTTAACATTAAGAATAACGGGGCCCTGAACCGGCCCGTTAATTCTCCTTACTCTGGTCCATCTAGATTCTGGACTCCATCCTCTCTCCCAAGTCCATACCACCCACACTCTTCTATCTTCTCCTCCTCAATGACATCACCATTTGCGACTCTGTATTCACTCTTCTCACCGTCGTCACGACCACCATCACAACACCACCCTTTTCTCCTCCTTGATGATATCCCAAAGCACCTAAGTCCTAGACCACGAAGGCACAACCCATCTTCGATTCTCTCCTCCTCGTTGGCACCACCCATCTCGATTCCTAGACGACAGCACTACCATTGCGATCATCATCACCCCATCACTGCCATCACTTGCTATAATTTTAGGTAATTTTTAAATTAGGCATTTGTTATTTATGTGAATTTTTGGTTTAGGAATTTAGGGTTTTTGAATCAAGAATGGCATAGATTTTGTTCAGGGTTCTAAATTTTTGGTTGGGGAATACAAGATTTGTTGATGTCACCATGAAGGTTGTGAGGATGGAATTGTATGCATTTGATATATATGTGTCTGTTCTTTAATTTTGTTTTCACTGTTTGGTACAATAGGATCAAAATTGAAATTGAAATTGAATATCCCTTTCATTTGTTTTTCGTATCGTTTTCATTCCACTGTTGGCTATTTTGAATAATTCACTGACATATTTTTCAATTTGTGGAAACATTCAACCATGAGAGGAAGCAATATTACAAGTGAAAAATGATAAAACCATTTTCTGGTTTTTCTTGCCTATGTACATAAAAGTCTTTCTTCATCGTTCAGTTTAATAGTTTTGTAAGAAAAAAATTTTCTTCAAAGTTTCGTTAAGGGATCGATTGGGAGTTACCTTTCTAGCCCCATGTTTTCATGAATGCTACTGTAATATGTTTGTGTTGTGAAACAGCTCTTGTAATTTAAAGAAAAATGTATTTTCTGCTGTGCAATGCAGTGCAGCTTTGAAAAATGTTATTTCTGAAAAAAGAAAAAAAAAAAAAAGTTGGACCCGTGGACCCATCTCAAACCGGCCCATTTCAAATAGGTCGAGTTAGGTCTGGTTCCAAAACTCAAAATGCCTCTACCCAGCCCGCCCCGTCATGTTACATTTTAAAACGGGTAGGATTAGCTTCCTCCAAATATGAGCCCGGCTCGGCCCGTGCCCACCCCTAATCAAAAGATGTGATTTAAGCTTTTATTTATAGGGATATGTTATCCAGACACCTCATTTTACTTCTCTCACACCCCTTGATAATTTCTGTCCATTGATCTTTTTCAATTCATCTTCTCCAACAACCGAAAATTAAAAAAAAATATATGAAAAGTAAAATGGGATATGTGGATATCACATCCTTATTTATATTTTTCATCCGAAATGAATAGTTTGCATCTCTTTATTTGAGAGTTTTCGAACCAACAAAAAAACATAAAATACATATTAAGACATTTTGCACCTCTCATAAATAAATGCTCTAACGAAAGAGAGAAATTGTTTCAACCAAAACAAAAGAAAATATAAAGAAAATAGTTGAAGTTTTTAAATAGAGTCCGAGCCAGCGAAGAAAAACGTAAATAAGAAATCTTTAATTGGTTCCAACTACCGTTCATCTGTCTTTCTCCACCAAAAAGTCGTCGCTCCTTCGGACTACTTCTTCGTTCTTCAACTTCTCTTCTTAGCTATCCTACACCTTCCTTCCTTCCTTCCTTCATCCAAATTCCTCTCTCTCATCTGTCGTATACTTTTTTAAACCCTAATTTCTCACAAAATTTACAGATAATATTGTTAAATCGAATCGGAGCGACGCAATCTGTGAAGATATGGCTCTTCAGTTGAAGTCCATCGTCCCCCTCATCATCCTAATTTCTCTCTGTCTGGTTGCCCCTCTCATCCACGCCAAGGACGTCAACTACTGCGGTGGGTTTCTCACTCTTACCGTCTTCTCTTTTCCTTTAATTTATGAAAGCATGATACTTCACTTTCGGAACAAGTTTTCCATTCTCTATTTGTTTCCTGAGAAAATCGAAAATTTTCCACTTTTTATAGTAATTCAACTGATTGTTTCATTGTTTGTAGTCAAATACGATTTGGGTTCTTCTGTTGTTGATACAATGACAACAAGAAGGAATCTTTACTATGTATATGCATCTACACTCTCTAGCTGATTAGACAAAGTTAACATCTTTGATATGCATTATAAAATCTGCTTCTTTTTTTTTCTCTTTCGATAGTTTTGGTATTGGATTTATGTATTCAATCGAATGGTGTTTCGGTGTCGAATTTTGTTATGGTTTGTTTGGTTCTTGTTATACTGATGTTGGTTAAATGCAACTTAAGCGGATTTTTAGAATATATTCAGATAAGAAGGCTGACTATGATGTCAAGGTCTCTGCGGTTGACATTAATCCTTACCCTGTGGCGAGAGGCAAGCCTGCCAGCTTCAGCATTTCTGCAACTGCAGGTCCTAGTTCTATCTCACACTTAAAACTTTTCGAGTGAGTTTTTGTTTACATGTAATTGTCATTGGATAAACGCAAAAACGAATAGGATAATCGAACACTGTTTGAAGACCTTTTGGGAGTTTAGTTTTAACTAGAGTAAACTCCTATATGTGGTAACAGGTGCATCAATCTCTGGAGGGAAATTGGTGATTGAGGTTTCATACTTTGGTTGGCACATCCACAGTGAGACTCATGACCTTTGTGCGGAAACATCTTGCCCTGTTTCAACTGGTGATTTTGTGATTGCCCACTCACAAGATTTACCCGGATATACTCCACCTGTAAGTCCTCCTAGTCCTCCTTGCCAATATACTTATTATATCATATAGGTTTTCGGTGTTACTTGTGAGTTGTCCCTACAAACTTGAATAAGCCTATGAGTTTAACTGTTGGTATCTGTTTCGGCCAATACAAAGTTTAAGTTGATCCCACCTGAATTTTTTGAGTACAATGAAATAGTTTATGCTTAACTGTTAGATTGTCACATTAGAAAAGGATGCATACAGTCAAATGTCATATTCTAAGTAATGCAAAGGTGCAATTATCACATTTGGTAACCATGGTGCACATGTGATCACTTTATTGAATACATGCTTGGAAAGTGTTGTTTGTTTGCCAATCTTCCTCATCGTGCTTATTCTGTGTAGTGCGAAAAAATGGACATAAAACCAAGAAAGTTGTTCTTCGCTGTGGTCAAAATTCATGTCCCCACTTCTGTCTCGTCTTCTTCTAGGCTTCTAGCAGTACATTACTCTTTTCTCTCTGTCTTTGCATGTGTAATATTACCCCTTCTTCTTGGTGACCAAGCTAAAAAAATTAATTGGTCTATTCTTAAACCAACAAAACTGTCTTACATTCCAACATTGATTTTTATTGGATTGACACTATTTTGATTGCACCAGAGGCTTGTTGGCTCTCTGACCAACTCCCAAATAACCCTGGAAGATATACTTATTTGAACCAAGGAGGCCTATTGATGAATGTATACCAATGAGCCTAGTCTTAGGAATTCAATGACGATTTTATTTTGTAACCAAGTTGTCGCTAATACATAAAGAATAGTTAACTTAATCTGGTTTTTTTTTTTTTTTTTTTTTTGTTCATCTACCCCTCAATTTTGCAAAACTGTTAAGTTGTCTAAGAAGTACGTTATTTCTGAAATCCATTATGCTGCTATTTTTCTCTTGGGCATATTTAATTCAGTTTCCGCTTACTTATCATAAAGTACTTCAGGTCAGTTATAAGATATTGCTATCAAGAGTTATTTCAGAGTTGGTCTAATAGAGTCTAGTTGAGTCTCAAGCTTCAATGCTTCATATATTACATTCCTTTGGTGCCAAAGTTACTATGATCATCCATGTTGGCATGTTGCTAATGCATTTCCAATTTTAGTTGCAGAAAACCAGTAGAAAATAGCTCATGGTATAATGCTTTGATAATCTGTATATGGATTATACGTGATTCTGATTCATAAATCAAATTGCTACTGCGTTGTGTTTGATTTGTTTCCTCTTGGATTTTCAAATTGTTTTTTAATCACCCTGTCCCCATCAACTTTGCCACTTCTGTAATCTCTTTGTTTATATTTGTCTACTATGTTTTGTGTTCTGACCAAGTTCGTCAAAATGCAGGGTTCGTACTCTCTTAAAATGAGGCTGTATGACGGAAACAACCATGAGCTGACATGCATTGCCTTCGATTTTGACATCGGGTTTGCATCATCTGTGGCTGATAGTTAAGTGCATCAAATATTTTGTCTTTTAGTATACCTGTCTAAACTATGTTATACAGCATGGAAGAAGAATTATCTCGTTCCATACTTTTAACTTCACTGGTATGTTGTGATCTGTATATTATTATCGTTCCATCTACTTCTTGTTGAGACTATTGAAAGATAAGGGAACATGATTTAAAATATGACATCTTGTTACAGTATATATGATAGAGTGTGATCTTAGGATGATAAGCATTTTTTTTCCGGCTCGTTCTATCTGCCAACTCATTGAATAGCTCCAGAGTGCCTTCATTCAGAAACTTTGTATAGGTGTTTCAAACACCATATAGTAATTTAGTGAATTGGCGGGAGAACTTGTTCTTGGTCTTGGTGGTAAAATTCTTCCCGATGTCAGAGGAGGTCTCAAGTTTGGAGTCTTTACTCTTGTATTGATGTCCAAAACACAATTGGATTGCAGACGCCTGTCACGGTACCCCTAGTTACTTACTGGGTTGGCTTTATGGATGCTTTATATGGTCCAGCAGCCCAACCCAACAGGTCCCGGCCGAAAACAACCTCCTTGAAGTGCCTGATCACATAGTCGCATGATGTCTATTGCCCAAGGGAAAAACTTAGCTATACCAGGTTTGTACCCAATCCTGTTCTCTCTCATTCAGACATGCCGAAAAACTTCGGTATACCAGTTTTATACCCCTAGCCTCTCTCTGATGTGCCCTAGAGCGTATACCGGGCTATAACCTTTCATCCTCTCTCCGAAAACTTAGGTATTCCTGGTTTATACTTTATTCTCTATCAATGAGCCGATAAACTTGGTTACTCCGGGTTTATACATGTACTCTCGCTTTCTAACGTGTCACGTGAGGAGACATATATTGATATTTCCCCTATACCAAATGATATGAACTCATGTATCCTTGCATTAGTGACTTGCAAACAAATAGTTTACAAGCAAATTACATTGTTGTGAGGATATTCTTGATGGTTAATTTTATAATTAGCACAATTTGTGGAGGGTTCTGAGCTGAACATGATGGGTATCATCATGGTTGGGTGTGATTGCGCGTACAAAAAGTTTGAGCCGCACTTTAGCTGTTATCTCGAGGGGTTCCTCCTAACTGATAAAAAGAGGAAAAGGAAAGCTTTGCTTTTGCTCACTTGAGATTCAATCATGGCCAAATTGGCACACCCTGTCTCCCCGGAATTAATTTCTGTCTTGTGACACATGACCAACTAGTTTACGCTCATAATTATTTGGTCTAGTGACATTTGTTCTTTATTTTGTTAGAGATACAGTACACTGTATGTGCTAATTAAAAACAAAATAAAAAGGTTGTTAGGGTACGTTTACATTCTTACACATGGTACCTGGTTATTTAGGTACGAGATAAACAACCCTAAATGGTGATCTTGAATTATTTTAAGTATGGCATACCTATTCCAACATGGGATCCACTTTTTTCTTCGTTTCTTGCGTTACTGAACCTAGGATATGTCAAGGAATGAATATCCAACATATTCGTTCATCGTAAGTACATATGCAGTGGAGACGGAGATACCAAGGTGGTGTTGTCCACAACCCATCACCTCTCGCCATGTGAGAAGTTAAATTGTATTATTGACCCGAAAAACTGCGTCATGAGGGGTGTACGTAAGTCCTTCCATCAACAAGTATTTGATTGATTCACTGTACGCATTATGTGGTGGAATTGATCACAAGTAGACCACTTAAATCATGAAAGATATTTGGTGAAGGGTCAATTAGCTCTAATGGAGGAGGAGGGGGTGCCCCAGCCACCCACCAAAAATTCTCAAAAGCATCCCAACACTTAACTTTTTCAATTGTCACTTTGGAGCAACTGGAAACCAAAAGGGAAAATGTCATCAACTAGGGACATTCAATCTCCTGACCAGTCCTTTTCACCCCAAAACACTCTTCCTTTTATCCTCTCCCACTCTTTGCGATCATCTCAATGCGATCATATCACATGCCACTCCAAGAACCAAAACAGAAGTCTGGGATGAAAGGAATGAGAGGAAAGTTTCTCAAGAAATTGAAGTCCATCCCAACAATTAACACTTTGAAACATGGCCTGCTCTTTCAGCTCGATCCTACGGAAAAGTTTTCCAATCCGAACCATCAAACACTGTCTCAGCTCGTTCGCAAAAATGAAGATTGTCAGAAGAAGAACACTCTATCGGCGGAGCTTGCATTTAAAGAACTCAAAGATGGAGATACGGGACTCGGTTCTAATGTCTGTAAGGAGAATATTACACCGCCCTCAATGGAAACCAAAGAAACAGTTATGGAGGATGACATTTTTCATGATGCAGAGAATGATGATGAACTTCCGTCTTTGTTAGATTTCGAGGAAAAGTGTCCGCCAGGAGGAGGCGATTGTGTCGTTCTATATTCAACAAGCGTGACAGGGGTTAGGAAAACGTTCGAGGACTGCAAGGCAATCCGGTTTTTGCTGGAGAGTTTCAAGGTACCGGTGTATGAAAGGGACCTTTCGATGCACATGGAATTCAGGGAAGAATTGTGGAGGATATTTGGCAGTAGAGTGATCCCTCCGAGGCTTTTCATCAAGGGAAGGTACATTGGTGGAGCTGAAGAAGTTACAGCACTTCATGAGCAAGGCAAGCTGAAAAAGCTCTTCGAAGGAATCCCAATTGACCTGTCTAGCTCCCCATGCACTGGCTGTGCCAACGTGCGCTTCGTTGTGTGCTTCAATTGCAATGGCAGTCGCAAAGTTTTCACGGATGGTGATCACGAAAACGATGAGTTGTGCATTAGATGTCCGGAGTGCAACGAAAATGGTTTGATCAAGTGCTCCATCTGCTGCTGAAAATTTAACCGGTGTTTCCTGTTTTCGTGTTATAACTTGTCGAGTTGTAAAACGCTTAGTGTTTGTGATGCATTAGCTTGTCCGAAATATGAAGAACTAACAATTTGATGTTGTAGAATTTCAGCTGTAGGTCTGATATATATGGTAGATTGCAATATTTGGAATGTTTTGTTCATATGGAAAAGTTTTCGTTTCCAGTTTGGAACCAAAACAACTGCAAAACAGCAGTTTTTATGAGCAAAAATCGTCAGAAGGAGAGAAATCACGAGTACAACCAGAGCCAAGTTGTCAAACAAAAAAGCAGGTGCACCGCGGGCGCTAGCGATTTGCATTCTCTAGTAGAGCGGCCTAAATTAGTCATCACATCCGAAAGAAAATTTGCTTGTCTAAAAAACTGGCGTAAAAAAATATGTATACTAGAGGGAAGAGATCCACCGAATGTCTTCAACAATAGCCCTCGGACGCAAAGGAACAACACCGCATCTGTTGAAATGCCAAGGAGATTCTCAAAGTGGAATTTTTCATGCATTTTCTATCACTTCACAGTTTAACGTTAATTTTCGTGCCAACATTATAAAACATTGTACAAAAAATATGAGGTCACCACAGAAAGTTCATAGAAAATCTCACTTTTAAGAGTCTCCTTCGAATTTCCCCTTCGATTATGTCATACTACGGTAGTGTTTAGTATTTAATTATGCTAATTAAGGTAGCTTAGTAGATGAAAGTTATAATTGTGTTCTGAAATGATGGGCTACGGAAGACCGTGCACATGGCTCTTCGTAAACTTTGGACAGAAAGTCTTTGATTGGTATTAAAAAGTTTATGTACTAAAGGGTGCTGTGGGCTCATAGTAATGAACCATTCAGGCCAACGAACTTTATGTTAAAGGGAAGCATATAATTATTTTATTTTTAATACAATAATATAAATTTTTCCTCGCAAGTCTGGTGGAAATGGCAAAGGTTAGGGCCTAGAGGCTTTATTTGGCCTCTCAAAATATTAATATTCGTGAAATCTAGTGCTCTCATAATTTTGTTGTTTTGATAGTGTGAGAGGTTAGAGACTAAATGGTGACAGATGACTTATTCTCATTGACTATCAATTTTTTCCTAAATTGACCCTTCAACAGCCAAGGTTAAATTGGCTCTTTGAAGAGCCTTGGGCTAGTTTAGCCTAGGCTAGATATAGCTCATTAGAAATTGAATTTTGTCATTTGAGGCTAAGTTACACTTTTGCCTAGGCTAGTTTGCATGCATTAGATAATCTCTAAGGGTTAGAGATTTGGGGTCTGAAATTCACATTTCGGCCGAATCAATGTTTAGGCCTAGAATCCACAATTCGGGCAAATTGATGTTTGGGCCCAGTTGATTGATGTCCACCGAGAAAGGAGGTTATGAGTCTTAGCCCAATAGTGCTGTGCTGATGGAGTAGCCGAGTCTTAGATGAGGTAAAACTTTTTGAGCATCAGGATTGATCTTTGGATAAAGGTTTCCAAGTATCATGATTGGTTTATGGATGAAGATTGAATTTATCATCTAAAGCAATCAGATTCAAAATCCTAATTTGAATAAGACTTGGTGGTGATGAATTTTGGCGGTAGAAGGATTGGTGGAGATAATTCTAAGTGTTGTCAAATAATGTTCGGGAATTGCAATATTATCAAGACTCTACAACTTGGTGGACTGGGGCATGAAGGAATTTATTCATATAAATATAAGATGATTTGTAATGTAGGGATAACCTTCAACTCAACACACGAATCAACACTATATGTGAACCCTTTCATCCCTTTGAGAAAATACTAAATGCTTTACTAACTATTAGCATGAATACAGTCTACTTAGACAGATTTGGGTTGGCAATTGACGGACGACCATTGCTTGGTTAGACGAGGTTTTCCAGAGGCAACCAGCAAAGGCAACTGCCTAATTAGACGGCTCTAGAGTTGAAGAATTAGTTTGGCCTAAGAGTTTTCACTACTTGATTAGACGACGAGTTTCTCAAGTTCGACTGATTAACTATCTCAAGTCTCTGCCTGCGAAGAGCCTTTGATTCTTCGTTGGAGATATCACATCATTAGCCTTCTGAGCGAAGTGGAGGGTTTTATGATTGGATATTCTTGAGTCATGTTCAGAGTTCAACATTTAGACGGTTGAACCACTTTTACAATAAAGACACTCATTTCCTTTGAGTATCTTTGTCTGTACAGCTTGATACCAGTTTAGGGGACCTATATTCTTACTAATATAGTTGTGGTTGCCGAATTTGGTGCACAAGATCTATAACTTAATAGTGATTTGCATAACCTTGTCTTCATGTTATAGAACACAAGGCCGAAAGTGTTCCTTCCTCGGTCGATGTTGCTCGATTCAAGAGTTCAAAGCGACATTCGTCTGACCGAGCTCGATAGTAAGTTGGCACGTCCGCATCAGCAATCAACAACCGAAGGTCGTCATTAGCTCCTTACTTACTTCGCATCACGTAGGCTGTGTAATTTTTTAGGACAACACTAAGTCATAATAATTTGGTATTAAACTTGTCATTCATGGAAGTTAAAACTAAGACCCTTTCAGTTATAATTGAAAGAATACCATTAAACTGTAGTATAAAGTGATAAAAGCTAAAGCATTAACATCCCTACAAGAAGGCCAAGTCCATTTGATTCTTGTTATGCCAAGGGGAAGAGAGTCATGTTAGTGGTATCACATTCCAACAATCTGTGTACGCATGAGTGTAACTCATTCATATTCCAAGGTCTCTAATATATGAACCAAACATGTCAAGTTTCACTCTACTCCCCAAACATCACATACCAACAGATGTGGTCACCATTATAGGTTCTTAAGATATTCTGTCTGAAGAGGTAGATAGATAGGACTACTAGTTGCTCACCTATAAATATAAGCTTCTTACAGTCTTTCTTTGGCAAAGAAAACTTAGAAGTCCAATTCCGATCTTAGATAGGATTCGCCATCCACTAGACACACCACAGAAGCCAACAGTAGTATGAATGCAACTTCCTTCTATTCCCTACCAATGTCGGACTAGGGCCCATCGAAGAAGATCCTTGTATTCTCTTAGAAAAGAAGTTATGAAAGAATGCTCCATTTGGTCAAAACGACAAACATTTATTTCCATTGATTCTCTCAGCCCAAGGCTTCAACAAGTAGCTTTGTAATTAGCTGAGAGAGGTGAGAGCGAATAAAAAAGAAAATTGGGAGGGAAAGAGGCTCGGAAAACAAAGAGAACATCGAGGCATTTTCTCACCCCTAGTGTTATCTCTAATTGTAATTCTCTCTCCTTAATACATACAACTAAATCTCTTAAAATACAAATTGGCTTCCGGATGTCATAGATATTTTAATAATAACAAATTGCTAAATTATTTTGCTAATTAGAAAATACATATTCGCAAAACCTACATGTATAATACCACATTTAATAATACCAAAACAAGTTGTGTCGCTGATATGTTTCATTTTCCAATTTTTCTTTAGAATAAGGTTGTCAAGTCATATATTTGCTCTTATGTATCCCCTCTTGTGAGTGTCATCCATAGCAATAGAGTTGGTTTAGAAACAGAAAGATCTTAGTAAGAAAATAGCATATCAACCATGACTAGGACGAAGGTAAAACTCGCCTGGATACTGAAGGATAGAGATACAAAAGCTACATTCCAAAAAGGCAAGCTTGTTTAAGAAAATGAGTGACTCACCATCTTGTCAACTCATTGTCGTATGCCATATCCAATGGTAAAGCCATTAACTACATACAAGATGGCGAGCTCACGCATTTTCTTGAACAAGATTGCCTTTCTCTTTTGGAATGTAGCTTTTCTATCTCTTATCATTCACTGGATGCTGCAATATTTGAATGCTAATGGAAGTAGCAATAATGTATTGGGGAAACTGCCTTATGATGGCAGCACAGGAGGTCCTGAAACAAATATAGGACTGCCTTATAGACCATAGGCGGAGCTACGAACGGAATACAATGGTCCCAAGTCCATCTTGACATTTTTTTCTCGCATAAATGTTTTTTGCTATGCTTATAAATTTAACTTTTTTAGTTTAGTTTGATTTGAGATCGGTGGCTCCTGTGGAGTTCAAGTAATCTGTTGCTTGTGAGCTTTGAAAAGGAAGAAGAGAGAGGAAGGTCAAAAAGGCTTGGGGTTTAAGTTTAAGGAAGATAATGATGAGGACGGCACCATGGCAGACCCAAATGACAATGGTCGATTACTCACCACACAGAAAAACTTAAGAGAGCGTTTCAGATTGAGACTTTTGGACCCTTTCTAGACTAATATCTTAGCTCCACCACTGTTATGGACTGTTTAGAAATAGCAGTGGTGGTGGTGGAAGTGATGTAGGTGGGAAATTTGGAGGTAGCAACCAGTGGTGGATCCAAAATTTCAACCTTGGGTGGTCCTAGTATAAAATATTCAAGGATTTTGTTGACGGAAATAGTGCACAATGCGCAAAAGATTTTTCTCTATTTTTTAAATGAAACATTTTGTCAAGTACTTTTTGTATATATGAGCGGCCTTGTTTTGTTCTTTGAAGATTAAAAGTCTTGTCAAATTTTATTGGCATCTAATAACTTGAAAACTCTTTCTTGAAAACAAGTAAATTAAAGGGTTTTTTTTTTAATATTTTTTTTTATTATTAAGATACTCTTAACTTGAAAAGGCTCTTTCTTTTGAGATATTAATAATTAAGAGGTGAAGTCATACTAGTAATTCAAAAGGTTAAAAAAAACATATTTAGCATATAATACTTTTGCAGGGGATAGAAAAAAGGGTGAACAGCAAAATTGGGATAGAAAAAAAAAATTAATAGAAGACGGTTGGTCCAAATTAGAAAAGGGATAGAAAGAGTGCAAATGACATCGTTTCTTAAAAGTAAAAAAGCAGGGTGCAAAAGCACAACCCTTCTTCTTCATTTTGCTGGTTCTGCAACTCAAGCTTTTAGGCGAATAAAACCCAGAGAATGGTGGCTCTTATATCGAGAATGGTGGCTCTTATATCTACTATGTTATCCTATTAAGTCACTATAATTTATCCTATTGAGTCCTTCATAGAGCTCTGCCTAGGGTTTAGGGTGGTGCTCGAGGTTCTTCACAAGTGTTTTTTCGATATTCGGAAGGTCTCGGGACCACCCTAATCTCTATATAGATCCACCCCTGGTAGCAAGGGTT